AACGCAGAGGGCAGACGCTCGTACACGTGTAGGGAGAAGCCGGAGACAGGGCCGTCTCTGGGGACATCCGAGCGTCAACATGACTGCTCGGGGCTTTATTGAGTCGAAAGCGTGTGTCATCTCTAAGATGGTATACACAAAGAAAAAAATCATTTGGAGAATGATTATGGAGAAAATAGCATGGAGAGACATCGGAGACGTCTGAAGATTAGAGAATATTTAGAAGAATATTAAAGCGTGACTTGGCTTGATTGATGCCGAGTGGAGTAGAGGAGCCAGCGAATCATGATGTCCGAGTAGATGGATGTGATTTGGCTGGCTCGCTTGATAGCTTGGATGGCTCACTTGGCAACTCAGACGGCTCGCTTGGCAGCTCGGACGGGTACGCAGAGTCATAGGCGAACGGGCGTAATTGGAGCCTGATGGAGTCAATCCGCGTGGGGAGGCGAAGCCTTTGAGCGTGTCTGACCGAGGAGAGGGCGCAGTCCGAGATCTTCCTTGCATGCCTGAGATACGTGAGGTTGCTTGCATGGTGGTGTAGATCCAGATGCATATGTGCTTGTATATCTCTTCAACTACTCCAATTAGCTTGTACGGCCGATCAACATCTTTGGTGGAAACACTGCTCCACATCGCGTTATCGCCGGCCGCCTTTCCTGATTGCTGGTTGTCGTGATCTGCGGAAACGATCTTGCATATCCGATCAGAAATCACGAGCAACAACAAGATGCGATTAGGTTTCTTCCAACCGAAATCATACAGACATATGGATATATCTGGAAGTATAATAACAATATTTAATTAGGAAGCGACTTGATTTAGCTTTCTTATATTGCTTGACTCCGATCTTGTTGTCGTGTGTTGTGTCTGTTGGAGGCGCATGGCAAGGTGTCGGACTCCAGCACGTGTGGCCGTTCGCCGAGGAAGGCAATCCGCTGCGTGCCAACGTCGAGTTGCCACCGAATGCCGAGTTGTCGGTGACGTTGGTTGAAGAAAAGTTTCCCATCTGGTTCGCCATAAAATCAGCACGCACACCCCCTACCTAGCGCGCCACTGTCGATGAAATCTGGTCGATAGTCTATCGAGGGGTATGCCCACGGTAATAGATGAATCGGTGGAGATACGCGTGAGAAAACCGGATGGTGACACAGAACGCAAGGGATAGCGTTTAGACAGGTTTGGGTCGTCGACTTGACGTAATACCCTATGTTTTGTGTCTTTGTAGATTGTATTGCGTATGATTAGATATATTGTCTAGGGGACCCCTGCCCCTCCTTATATACTCTGGAGGGGTAGGGTTATAAGGAAAATATACTATTTGGTATTACAATATCTTCTTGTAGGCTTGCGGTGCACGCTGACCAGTGCCATGCGCCGCACGCCTTGATCTTGTGGTCTAGGCCACCTCTAATGGTGTGGCACATGTCTTATCCTGTGGATACCGGGGGTCATACCCCCATAGGCACCATCCTATAAAATCTAATTTCTTAATAGTTTCACCACAAGAAGAACTTTCTTTGAATACGCACCAAGCTAGCAGTGGTCGCCAATCAAAGACGAGTTAGAAGATACTTTTTTCCGTTAATCTTGCACGTGCAGCATATGATTTTTCATCGGACTCTACGGGTGGACCATGACATGTCAATTATGGAAAATATACTGATACGATGCTCAAGCGTAGGAGCATATCCTTTAACTTTGTTGTCATCGAAGATCGTGTGCCCGACATTCGTGCACAACCTTATTGCAAATTCTGCCACCAGGCCGCACCCGCCAACGGCATCAAATCTCACAACACCATAGGACGCCATGCCACCGGTCGCGCCCACCCTTGACGTTGGCCAACAACAGAGCCCTAGCCACAGCCGCGCGGCCTGTCCATGGCTCTCATCCCTTGCCGAACATTGGTAGCGCACGATGGCATAGGACGCGAGCGAGGCGATGAAAAGCCGAGGCGTAAAGCAGCAGCAAAACGAGTCAACTCGGCAGCAGGACCATATCGGTGCCATGCTACTGATTCTTCTGTCTCCAGCCCTAGCTGTTGTTGTTACCAACGCGCCAGAACTTGGAGTAGGCCAGGTTCTCGCCGTGGAACATGGACTGAGATGGCCAGGAAGGCCATCGCGACAGCGCCTACAGCCGAGGCCCCGCCACGAACAGCGACAAAAAGAGAAAAAAAAAGTCTAAATGGGTTTGAAAATAGTTTAGGGTTGCAAAATTATTTACTAGCTTTTATTTTTTTTAAAAAATTATCAAATCAACTTAAAATTATAAAATGCACAATAATAAATCACACAAGTATTAGAAAAATGAAACAGACTTTATATTTTCTATAAACTAGATCTACACGATATACGTGGGAAAGATCATAAAACAGGGGCTTTATATTTTCTATGTAATTATATTTCTAGATTCCTTAATATGCTCGTCTAATCCGCAAGCCACGTACGTGGTCAAATGCGTAGCAAAAAAAATTGTGACCCCCATGCAACGCTTAACAATTGTTTTCGTGGCGGCCTGCTCATCTAGGGACGAAGACTAATAGTAAAAAGCTTGAAAAAGAAAAGAAGGCGGCTCAGCTGGGAGGAAGAGGAAGGTGGTGTCTATCCAGGTCCAGGCAAAGCAACCACAAAGTAGTAAAGCAAGGAAAGATAGATAGATAAATTAAAAGGAGACGTTGCGTGAAGACTAAGAAGCCTCCTAATCCTAATCCTCACGAGACACCTGGCTTCGCTTCGCTTTTGGATGAATGGATGTTGCCCAAAACGAAAGGAAGGAAAGGGGAAAGGGACGAAAGAAACAAATCATCTACAGACTGCTTGCCGGCCTGCTAGGGGTTTGTTTAAGAAATGCGTCTCTGATGCTGTATCGTACTTGGTTGAGTAACTAACTGTATACGGATATTTCGTGATCGATAAGGCTGAACTGAAGTAGGAAAAGAAGAAGAAGAGGGTACGTCCTACCAGTAAGTACATTGAAAAAGGTCATATGCTTCCGGCTCCTATATAATACACGCGACACGTAGCCGCTAGGGTCTCGCAACTCAGCGCGCTGGCCCCCCTCCCTCCTTCCTCCGACATATCACCGAAGGCCGGATGGAGTGGAGATCCATCGTTTTAATAAGTTTTTCTAGTAGATTAAGCTTTTAGGGTTAGGGTCTCTCTATGCCAAATTTCTTAGTTTTGGGGATTTATTTCCTCATCATTCTCTCCGGTGACGGTGAGAGGGTAGGGTGGAATCGTTTTCTCCATGGCGGCTCTGTTGAAGATGCGGCAACAAGTACGGCGTCAGCATCCTCACCGATTTGATGACATGGAGACTTTTATTTTCAAACGGCGGTCTTCCTCATTCTTTGGTGGCAAAAAGAAGAAGGAAGACACCAGGAAAAAGAAGTTTCTCAACTCCGCCTACAGGAATGTTGGTCGTCGTTCGTTGGGCATCTGTTCTCAGGCATTTTGCTGAGTGTTTGCCTGTGCGGTCATCCATATTGCAAAGCGTCGTACAGATTTGATTTTGAGATCTGGAGCTATTCACAGCGTGGGTATAATTTAAAAAGAAAATCAATTTCTGGATATTTATGTAATCCAGAGTGCTTGTAACGTGTTCATGTACCTAGCTATTATCTAGTATAAATCTTCTTTCGTCGCAGCAAAAAAATGCTTCCAGCTCCTATATTAATGTTTCCCAATAACAGAGGAAGAAAGAAAAACAATACTCCTATACTAGTAGCATATTACTAGAATAGAAGGAATGCACAACGAGGCATAAACGTTATTAGGGTATTTGTGATGATCTAGTTAATTCTGCTCCTGCAGTGTAATTAGTTGAGCCTAGAGCAAGTATATAATAACACTATTGGTAGGCTTAATGTTGAGATAAAGGAGAGAGAAAAGAGGAGAAAAAGAAGTAGGAGCCGACATATGCACAAGGACTAAAAAATTTCTTATGCACAAGAACTAAAAAAAATTATGTGAGTGAAGAAAATAAACTATAGATGAACTAATTAGTATATAATTGGACTGATAGATTGATTGTAAGTTTACATACAATCAATAACCGTGTGTTTGGTTTGGAGACCAAGTGGGTTGGGTTGGGATGAACCTAGCTTTCTGGGATGGGATGAACCCATCTCATGTTTGGTTTGAGGGTTGGAGCCATTCTAGTTTTCTGTTTGGTACGATGGATAGAACGAGTTGGGATGGATGGTACTGTTAACTCCGTTAGTAGCTATCTGCGTGGGACATAGGTGTCAGTGACTCCTCCCTTTTCTTCCACCTCGCGTCGCACCGCCCTGCCCCCGCGGCCCGCTGCCCCGCCCCGCGTCCCTGCTGGCCAGAGCTCGCCCGCCATGTCCGCCACCTCCTCGAGCCGGCTCGCCCACCATGGCCGCCACCTCCTCGAGCTCCGAGCTCGCCCGTCCTGCTGCCACCTCCCCGAGCCCGCGCTCGCCTGCCCTAGCCGCCCCCGTCACCCGCTACTCGTCCAGATTCGGAGGCTAGAGGAGCTGCCCCACGCCGCGCCACCATGGATGGAGCTCGCCGCGCCGCCATGGCTGGGGTCGAAGCTCGCCCCGCATTGCGCCGCCGTGCTTGCCGAGGGCCAAGGGCCAGGGGCTCGTCCCGCGCCGGAGGTCGGGGGCTGGAGGTCGCACGGAGCTGCGCCATGGCCGAAGCATCCGGACATCGCTGGGCGCCGGAGGTTGCCCGTGTCGGCGATGGAGAAGCATCCGAGCAGCCAGCGTCTGCGCTCGCCAACGGAGATGCAACGGCGTCCATCTGGGTCGAGATGATTCCTCCGATTTGGAGGTACCGGCCGAACCCGCATCCAGAGAGAATATACCTTGTGCGGGATGAATCCAAACTAAACAACAGATCATCTGTGACGGACCCGGGATATCCCAGTTGAACCCGCAAACCAAACACTTGGTAAAGGGTTGTATTATTATTCTTGCTCAAGCATGAGCTCCATCCCTCCCCCTATGTTGATACCCACACCCACCCATGGACCGATTGCTTCGTGTGGACACCACACAGCACAATCCGGAAAAAGCAGCGAAGGCAGCCGCCTCCAAAGCCGGAAGGAGGAGGAAAGGTTATGTCTTATGTGTATGGAAGGAAAAAAAAAAAGAAGAAGCATGCATGACCATGTCTGACGAGTCCTTGAGAGTTGAGTTCACTTCACTCTCCCAGCAGAGCAGTGACTATTGATAGTGAGGAGGCAGTGAGTGAGTGAGGACTTTGGCTTGCTTTCCGCGCGCATCACCTCGGCAGTGAGCACGCACATGCCAACCACCATCAATTCATTCGTCGTTAACAATCTGCTGCCGTCCTGCGCTGCGATTAAAGCCTTCCATCCGATTCTTCCAACCACCCTACCTTAGCTTAGCTTCCACACACTGACGACACGCATGCAGCCGCCCACAGGCCGCCGCCGCGAGCCCCCCGGCGCCGCCAGAGGTGGGGAACTCACCAGACAAGAGATACCACCAGCGGGGCCGGGCCGCCTCTTCTTCATGCCGGCGCCACCGGGGCACCACCACCGCCCACCGCCGTCGGATCGCGACCGCCCCTTCTTCATGCCGCCGCCGCCGCCGCCCGCGCCACCGGGCCGCTCGCACAGCAACCAACCATCACCAGCGGACCCGCCCAGCGCCAGCAGCAGGCCTGCTCCGCCGCCGCCTCCTCCTCCTCTCCGCTGCCGCCCCCACACGCGTACGGCGACTACGACCGCGCCGGCGCCCCCGACGAGCTCCCCCGCCGTCCCCCTCACCACGCGCCCCTGCCCCCACCACACCGCCCGGCGCCGTCCCCCTGCTCGTCCGCGCTGGCATCCTGCCTCGTCGCGACGGCGTTCCTGCTCCTGTCAGCGGGTGGCGCCGGAACCGCGCTGTTCCTGCTCTTCCGCCCTCGGCCGCCCGACATCGCGGTGGCCGCCGTGCGCCTGCCTTCCTTCTCGGCCTCCAACGGCACGGTCGCCTTCACGTTCGAGCAGACGGCGGCGGTGCGCAACCCGAACCGGTCCCCGCTCGCGCACTTCGACAGCTCCCTCCGCGTCGCCTACGCGGGTGGCGAGCTCGGCGCCGTCTACATCCCCGCGGGCCTCATCGACGGAGGAAGCACCAAGCACGTGTCCGCCGTCTTCGACGTCCCCGCCATCCCCGTCGCCGCCCAGCCGACGGTCGGGGCCGTCGATGCCGCGTCCGCCGCCCAGAGTCAGCCGCCGGCGGTCATCGAGGTCCACTCGTTGCTCGTGGTCAAGGGCAGAGTCAACGTCCTCCGCGTCCTCACGCACCGCGTCCAGGCCGCCAAGCTCTGCCGCGTCGGCGTCTCGCCGCTCGACGGCACGGTGCTCGGATTCCGATGCTGATTAGTGATCTCATCTCACTAGCATAGTATAGTACATAGCCGTAGCCTGCTCCCGCTGGCTGTTATCATATCCTATATATTCCTCATCTCCTCCTCGATCGTCGGTGGTTTTGGATTCTTGTTGCAGCCCAGTCTTGTTGAAGGAGATGTGTACGGAACGAATTCCACGTTTCCTTTGCAATCAGACAAACTACTTGCAGTAAGGCCCCGTTTAGATTAAAAAAAATTTGCGTAGGATCCGTCGCATCGAATCTTGCGGTATATGTATGAAATACTAAATGTAGACGAAAAAAAAACTAATTGCACAGTCGAGACGAAACATTTGAACCTAATTAGTCCATAATTAGACACTAATAACCAAATACAAACGAAAGTGCTACAGTAGCCAAAATCTAAAAAATTTGGATCTAAACGGAGCCTAATACTGGATTTGTGTAGTACCGATCCAATTAACGATAGTGTTGTGCTGATGAGTTCCGGAAGGAATATGAAACTGTGTATACATACATACATATTAACTCGTGGCGGCTGTCTCTGGCTCTGTGCGCTTGGCAAACTTCACCCACCCTGCACACTTTCAAATTCAGGCAGGCACGGTCGCAGTGATTCTGGGAATGGGTTCTACTTTCTTTCCCCCGCCAAATATATTTGCCCCCGTTGCCCTATATTCTTAAAACAAGTTATCATCCCATGATCTCCCATTCCTCCTCTAAGATACATAACCTATTCTTCAATTAAAAAACAAATACATAAAACCTGCTTTCTCTATTCTAAACTATAAGATCGTTTACATTTTTTTTTTAGATACTTTGAGTAAAAAGTTTTATAATTTAAAATAGAGGAGTAGCCGAGACCCGCGCCTCTCTGAGAATCACTTGCATACACGTCTCATTGAACAGATTGTGCATCTATAAATGGAAATAGCCTGCCTCCAGGCTCTAGCAGCACACCCGCCATGTGTAAAATAAAAAGCTAAAGATTGCGTGTGTGATTTGTTTTGCTTTGTCACACGAATTTAGCGGGTGTTTGGTTCCACCTCTTAAACTTTAGTCGCTGTCCAATCAGATGTTTGTACATAGACTATTTACGAAACTAAATACACAGATTTAGACTAATTTACGAAATAAATTTATTAAGACTAATTAGTTCATGATTTGACAATGTAGTGCTACAGTAAATATATGCTAATGACGGATTAATTAGGCTTAATAAATTCATCTCGTAGAATACTGAGGAATTCTATAATTTGTTTTTTATTAGTATTCGAACACCTCATGTGACACCCTACGTGACATGCGACGTGACGTCCCTTAAACTTTAGTCATCGCATCAAATACCTAATCTACGCCACCGACTTCCGCTATATTCGCTTGACTTATAAGCCGTCTTTTTTTTTAGTCAACGAAGAATATTTTTCTTATAATAAATTAGTCAATAGTGTTTCCGGCCACGGCTTATCATGCGATCAAGTCATTCATCTACACCCTCGATAGCGATAGCACCGCACGCGTCGCTCTCTTGTCGCATATTCTGCCACCGCTTTGTCTGTCCCTTCCGAGTGGGCTCCACATGTCAGGTCTTTTTTTGAAACCGCGCCATTATTTTCTCCTATCTTTCGAACGGCATGCCTTGCTCATTTCTCTCTATCTCGCTCAAAGCGAGTCCGTCGAGACTCCAGAGGAGCTTATCCCCAGTGATTCAGTTTCCTTGGTGAGTTTTCTTCGATTTCACCTTTACAATCCTATAGATCTGGTTGTTGCGCATCTATTCAATCTACTTTTTGACGTTGTTTCGTGTTGCGTCAGTTTCACAATGTTCCCCGATTTTTGCGAAGCGGATCCTCATCCCCATCGAATCTGATCTCTAGGTCAGTTAATCTCGTAGATCTGGTCTTGTTCGTTCGTCTGATTCTGCTATTGCTTCGTTGTTTCAAGGTCAAGCATAGTCTTCTTCGTTTCCTCCCTTTTGCCTTGTTTTGATTTTGACGGAGTGGACCTCGTTCTATGGGATATTTAACTTTTTATTATTATAATGGTTAACATCTCTTCAGATAATATTTTTAAAATTGCTCATATATATTTATCATCGAGAGAGAAGAATTCATAACTTTAAGCCATTTTTACATACGTGGCGGGACACGTAAGGAAGCCAGTGTGTCTGTGGGATGCGAAATGACTTTGTTACTCCTAATCTATTTCTTCTTCGTCAGTCTCATCCCCATCGCTCGGTAAAGATGCATCCTGGCCTACGTGCCTCTCAGCTCCGCCTTCTCCTCCCTCCCAGACGCGAGCAGCAGCAGATGAAGTCGACGAGCGCGAGGTCTGCGCACCACCCTAGCTGGCAGCGCTGCTCTGATGGCAAACGCAGGCACGAGATCCGCCGTGTGTGCGTCCCCATCCCAGGCATGCCTCCCCCATGGTCGGCCGCGCGAGGTCCAGCTCCTCCCCTTCCGGTCGCTGCTCCCCCATCCCTGGCGGCGCGCGCGAGGTCCGGCTCCTCCCCTTCTGGCCACGCGAGCTCCTAGGTCCGGCGAGGTGCCACCATGTTCGTCGTCAGCGGGGGAAGTTGGCTCGCCGATACCGGCAGCGACCGCGCACGTATAGACGCGGCGCAGCTCGTCTGTGGCTGGGGATGCGCGTCCTCCATCGGCGAGGAAGAAGAGGAGCACGAGCACGAGGAGCCACGGGGCCGCCATGTTCGTCGACGACGTCGAGGAGGCCGTGCTCCTACGCGTGTTCCAGGTGCCGCCATGTTCGCCGCCGGCGTCGGACGCGACCGTGGACCTACAGGCCGTGGCCCCGGCTGCCTCGCCCCCAACTTCCCCTATGTCCTGTCAGCCGCCGCCATGGACCCCATCGTCGGCCATGGCCGGAGCTCGAGCGAGAAAGGGATAGAGATAGAAGAAATAGATGAGGGACAAAAATATCATTTCCCGTGTCCGGTCTATGCTGTCAGGTCGAGTTAGCATGCCACGTCAGCGAAAATGGCAAGAATGTATCAAATGCTCTCTCTCGATGGTAAATATGTAGGAGTAATTTTAATAGTGTTATCTAAAGAGGTAATGGTAAAAAGTTAAATATCCCTTCTTCTACGGCGATTTAGCTTTCGTGGTTTGTCCATCTTCATTATTTCGTTTCTATCTCTTAGATCTGGTTGGCACCTTTGTTCTCATTCTGATTTCTTTTGTCATTCGAGGTGTATTGTATTCTTCAGCTATCTGATTCATTTAGAGGCGAGTTTGAAGCAATTGATCTTCGGCGAAGGCAATGTTGGAGGTCAGTTGCCGCGTGGGAAGCACGGAGAGCACCCTCTCAATGTTGGAGGTCAGTTGGTCTTTGGATTGCCTTTTTGTTTTTGGAGCTTTTGGTCCCCATGGGTCTGTGTATTATTGATATCTGACTCGTACGAGGACTTAGGTCTGTAAGTTATTTGTTATATATTTTTGAGTAATTTGTTGTCACTGCGTTTGATTCACATGAGGAATTATACCTAACTTAGTATTTATTTCATTATTTACATATCCATTTTTTTAATTTTACATCTCGTGGCTTCATGTAACTACAGTGCTTCTTAAGTGTAATTTATTAAAATCACTAGTGTTGATCTATTTTCATTACAATTTTATTTGACTGTGGTATGTTTGCATGTTTGTTTGACTTTTATTATCTGTATATGTGCAATAACTTTGACATGCATTGGTTTTTTCTTAATTTTCTTGTGTTGGGTACTTGGTTTGGGTAGATGGACATGTTTCTCTAGCTTACACACACATTACTATTTTGCTCTACACTCTAGTGAAGTCACCCGACCAATAGATGTTTAGATTGCTTGTTCTTGCTACTAGTGTTTGCTTACCTTTTCTAACATGCAAATTCACGACCAGTTCAGTGACATTTCATTCCAATTTGTCTACCTGATGTCGTCTCCTCCTAGCCGTGCATCAACACAAATGTACTGGACAGTTTTGCTTTTCTGGTCATAGTAACTACTCTTTCTGGATCACTCTCACTGTGGTCTTTGCTTTTTGCTAATAATTTGTGTGTTGCTTGTTTGTTTATTTTTTAATATTTATTTATATTTTGACAATTACTCTTGATTTTTATTTAGAGCTAGGAAAAGAAGTTCTTCATATTTGGATATTGGCACTATGATGATCGTGATAATGAAGAGTTATTGTTTGTTGGTAATGCCTCTGGCGATGATGATTTTAATGCCTCAAGTTTTGATGGTCTTCATGATTGTGATGTAAGTATAATATTTGTTATTTGAACAGCTAGCCTTATTTGGTAGTCTTCATTTTCTGATGCTGCCGCTGGTGTTGTGTTGATTGTAGGACCCAAATTGCTGTATAAGCACTCCAAACGCCATCTGAACAGCAGTTGTTTTGATATATTATCTATTCCTTTTCTTATTTGACTAGGTAGCGTGCTCATGCGTTGCTACGGGATAGCTAACATTTTATACTAAAAACACACGGATCGCACGATAAAATAACAATACTATAAAAATTAAATATCAATGTTAAAGTGATATTTAATCCAAAAAACAAAGTATGTGAAATTAACATAAGTCACGGAGAGCGCAACGTCATAGACTCACAAACTCTACTTTATAGATCTTTTTCGTGATGTGGCTAAGATAATGTTTTATATTGGTCGGAAGAAATCTCTGATATCTATTTCTTTCGTGCGCCAATAATTACCAATGTTGAATATCCGGACTCGGATGCGGATAGATCTAAACCCTCTAAACGGATTTGGTCTTGGTTACGGTCGAAAAATATCCGTACTATTTTCACCCTTACTCACAACAATGCCTAAATAAATGGATTACAAATTACATCCACCAAGGTTCATATGCAATAGACAAATTACATCCGCAAGGTTTATAGCTCCAACAAGTTAAAAAATAATAATAATAAATCCAGAATTGAGAATTGAATGGTCTTAAGAACTAAAACAAACTAAAGCAATTTTGCTGAGCCGCCAGTGGTCGTGCTTGTCTGAAATTAAACTACATGCTGATCAACATAATTGGACGAAATAGTCTATTTAAATGGCCACAGGATACAACGTATGTTTGAACAAACTGTATGAGTTTAATAGCTACTACTCTAAGGCCCTGCAAATGATAATATGTCAAAGAAAGTTAACCTTCCAAACTAACAAATATGCATTAAGGTAGTGTGCCCGTGCGTTGCTACGAGACAGCTAAATTTTTATACTAAAAATACATAGATCGCACGATAAGATAATAATATTATAAAATTAAATACCGACATTAAAGTGATATTTAATCTAAAAAGCAAAGTTCGTGAAATTAACACATTCATGGAGCGCGGCGTCGCAAGCTCACAAACTCTACTGCATAGACTTTTTCGTGATGCGACTAAGATAATGTTTTATATCGGCAGAAAGAAATCTCCGATATCTTATTTCTTTCGTACGCCAATAAATCCACGAATAAGTTCTGTTGCATCTTCATACCATCCTGTACACAAGTTCGAGTATATATATAAATATTAATTTTTGTCACATGGGTAATACTACGTGTCTTGAAAAATCTCTTATAATACCTTAAGTATGTTATACTCACCGTATAAATATGTGTGGCTTTAGGACTATTTCACGCAGACATATACTATAGAATAAGGTATCCACTTGAGTGTCTATGGCAAGATTCACCATCAGCAATATATAGAAATGGTTAAATCATAGGTATTATTATTGCAAGCGACGAATAAAAGTAAATTAGAGGTTATCATAATTGTATATTTAATTCTTCCTAGTTTTTTAAGATGATGATGTCCAAGGTAAACTTCAAAATATATCATTTTCATGCATTGTGTCCGGGTACAAGCTAATTCACTATAAAATAATAATTGAAATTTTCTCTCTTAGTTTAAAATTATAAGATATTTTGGTTTTTCTAGATATATTGTTTTAATTATGTATATCTAAGCATATAAAAAATTATGTATCTAGAAAAGCCAAAACGTCATATAAGTTGGAATTAAGAAAGTAAATTTTCGTAGATTCATTGGTCCACTTTGAATTGGTTAGAAACACTTTCACAAGGAGAAATTATCTGCTCAGAATCCACAAATTCAAGTTTTGCCCCCTTATAACACAAAGGTTTTTAAATTTGCTTCACAAAGTCAATTGTCAACTCTTCATTGAGGCGCGATGGCTGTCAGTTTTACTACCTCCCAAGCACCATCCAGTTCTAGCCAACCTCTAAATGTCTAAAGTTTTCAACACCATGTAAGCATCATTCCATGCTCGATTTTCAACAAGCTCTGCTTCTAAACCATCCTCTCCAACCTATACAACCTCCCCGTTGCATAATCCTAGGACCTCACTGCTCCGTGCAAGTAGTTTGGGCACACAGAAACCATCTGCTCATCATCCAGCCCTGGGAGTAGCATGTAATTCTGAAATCATGACACATATCAGATTCTTGGGACATGTCTACACGAGAACCAAGGCATGAAGGGATATGATTGATAAAGAATAGAGAGATAATGTATGTGGTTGGATAAAAAATTGTTGTGTAAAAATTATCCATTAGGACCATAGTTTCTATATGTAGTGTCTATGGAAATTAATAGGTATAACATTGTGACTGTCCTAATACATTATAGAAACACCAGAATAACTATTTTTTTCACAAGTAGAAGTACAAGATTGAGAAGTAAATTGTCAAGCTTGTTTGGCTAATCTATGAGCATCTTGTTTAAATATTCGTCAATAAATCGTAGAAAGATAATGTCCAATTAATCAAAATGTACAAGTCAGAGCATGGGCGAGGGAGGGCGCGAGGGCGGAGGCCGGTGCGAACGAGGGCGAGCTAAGCTAGCGAGGGTGGGCGCTATGGCGAGGCCACAAGATTTATAGCAGTCTCTCTCTTTCCTTTTGTCTTAAATTTTTTTTCCTTCTGTGTTAATTCTCTTTCCTTTTGCTCGTTGCCATGTATGCTGGTGCATGCAAACATGCAATGTGTATATGGATAGCACAATAATTTTTTACTTTCTATTTTGTAAACATGCAATATTCAATCAAGGAGACAAATCGCGGGCTTTCCTTTTCTCGCTCGCTCCTTTCCTTTTCTCGCTCGCCCGTTGGACAGCGTGGGAGGTGGGATCGATTGCATGGGGTGACAGACGGACGAACCAAGGCAATTATCGCACCAAAACGATGTCCACACTTTGTTCTTTTTAGTTGTAGAAGATTACTATTGTTTTGACATGTTAGTTGAGTTCAAATAGCCATGATACATGTATGTATGTTCATTTCTCATTTGAATGATTCATGTATATTTAATTCAGTTGGAAACCATGTTCGATTAACGTTATTTGGAAGCTTTGGAATCGATGTACACTTATAATTCAGTTTGAAGCAACAATTCATGTTGTTCGCATGTTATTACAGTTCATTGAATATTTTTATTTTCATATTTTGTTGTGTTAGGTTAACTGTTATTTTGCAACGCATAATTTGTTCTTTGTCTTACCTTGTTTTTTTTTTCATACAATGCTGTCATAATCTTTATGCTTTTTGCATTACATATAATTTTTTTGCTTTTCAGTTTTTTTATTTAATTTGATATGTTTGTTTCATGTTGTCTTTCTAAAAGTTTTTGGTTTTTGCCATTCATAGAATTTTTTTATGCTTTTTTGTTAGATGAAATGGCCTCATATTTATTGTTTTGAATTCAATGTTTATGCTCTCAGAATTTTTTTTGCTCCGCATACCATCGAAAATTTGTTGTATATTAGTTAACTTTTTTATGGACTATTTTTTTTTTCATTTACAATAGAGTTCATCAATACTTATAGTGTTTAATCTGGTGTAATTGCTAGGTATCATTGGTGTAATTGCTAGGTCAACTATACTAAGTGAAGAAGTTTATTAGGCACGCGTATTTGTCATAATTTGAAATTAGTGTTTTTACTTTGGATTTGTTTGTTTGATGCAATCCTCTTATAATATTTTTGGTTTCTGCAATCCATAGAATGAATCTGTTTTTTTTTTTACTTTGATCTGTTTGGTTGGTTCACTGCCCTCATAAAGTTTTGTTTTCTGCAATCCATAGAAAATTTTTGGTTTTGTTTTTCTGTATATTTACTTTGCCTTTTTGGTTCATGCAATGCCCTGAGGAGGAGGTGGCGGAGTCGTTTGCAGTGTTGATTTGTCTTTGTCGTTGAGTATCTCATTGAGTTCTTGTTTTTAGTTCATGCAATGCCCTCAGGTGCCCTCGGGTTTTGTTTTTGATTTCTGTTTATTTCTTTATTAATGAACTTAGATCAGTAAGATGTTATGCCCCGTCATGATAATGCACTTACAAATTCACTCATGTTACGATGAACTAATTTTGTTGTTACAGTGAGAGTTGAACTTTACTTATAGTGGTTAATGAGGTGTAGTTCCTAGGTATTATTGGTGTAACTAATAGTAGACTTTAACTATACTTACAGTTTGTTAATCAGGTGTGTTTTCCATTTTTGCATTATATGTTTGTGTTTCTGATCTTGCTTTCTTATTGTTTAATGTAGTAGAAATATCTATATATAGAATAGCCTCACCTGATAAATGCACTTAATTAATTTACTATCATGTTACTATGGATTAATTTTTATAGTTACACTAGAGTTCAACTACACTTATAGTTGTTAATCAGGTATAATTCCATGGTATTATTGACATAACTAATAGTAAGTGCAAAAAGTTTACTAGGCAGATGTTTGGCTACTATCATGTTTGCTTTTGGTGTATTTGGTTTGTTTGCTTGATGCAATGCTCTCATAATCTTTCTGTAATTTGCATTCCATATAAATTTTGTGTTTTTTGTTTTTTTATTTTGATTTTTTGGTTCATGCAGTGCCCTCATTAAAAATTTTGGTATTTGCAATCTATAGAAAATTTTGCTTTATGTTTTCTGTTTATTTCCTTTGATCTAAATTTGTCACATTATGTTCATTTTTATTTTGGCTCAATTTTTGCATAACAAGATGTTGCTTGAAATGCAGTTGTATTTGAAACAAGATATTTTTTCTGTACTTTGCAGTCATAGAAAATTTCTTGTCTTTTCTTTTTTTGTTTGTGTAATATGTTAGATGAAATGGCCTCACTATGTCATGCTTTTGGCTCACACGTGGATGAAGGGTTATCTAGGAATGCATAATTCGTGTGATTTATCTCTTGTTTCACTCGAATTCTGGTTATAGTTTTTCTTGAGTGATTTGTCCTTTTTGATTACTCGTGTGACCACAAGGCATGAATCACTCAGATTGTCTTTTTGTTCCATTTATGTGATTTGTTAGTGATCAGAGGGAGTCAAATCACCCAAGTTACAAATAGACATGTGCTCAAAGTGTCACAACACATGGCATTAAGTGTGTCAACAGCCTGAATAAATTTCGACGCTTACATGGTGCGCTCACGAAAACTATCATACTGCTACGCAGATCCAGCCAATAGAAACGCGCAGTTCCAAGAACCCAAGGCCATATCTACTACCACGGTTTTGCTTTTGACAGCTAACGTACTCGCTTGAATCGGCAGATGCGGGATAAGCCATCGAAGCATCTTTTGAACCAGGATCAACATAGGCAACTCAGCAGGTTCCAGCGTTGCAACTGAGAAGCGCGGGATGCACCAAGTCACCATATCTTGTTCTTCAGCCAAAAGAGCATCAGTACTATCCCAATCACAATAGCAACGGGGGCATACTTACGAATTAAGGCCTGAAAATCACAGGAGGAACGTATGTCATGGTAATGAAACGAGATACATCCCTTGCCTTACGTGGTCATGAATATTCCTTGTCTAAATATTACACCCTACATTCCAAATTACCATTCACTTTAGTTTTAGTGTCCTAAGTCAAACTTCTCTAACTTTGACTAAGTTTGTAAAAAAAATATACTAACATCTATAATAACAAATAAATGCACATTTCATAGTGGGTTTAATGAAACTAATTTGATCTTCTAGATGTCGTGCATTTTTCTATAAATATAGTCAAAATTAGATAAGCTGGGACAAAGCCAAAGTGAACTACAATTTGAAATCCCGTGTAGAACAGTTAATATCCTCTGAAGTGAGCCAAATTCAGCTCAACAGATGCATAAGCTGGAAAGTGAAATGTAGTCAACAGGACCATACCTGGCGATTGAGATCTTTCGCCTTATCTGCATAAATTCTAGTGTCAGAGGTCAACCTACTGGACATTTCACTCACCTCTGCAAAGAAAAAACTTTTGTTAAACAAGTGTTGTGTCGTGAAAAGTACATGTGAGGCAGACTGAAACACTTCATATCCTGGACATTAACCTTTTTTTAGTTCTCTGCATAGTTGCTGCTTGGGTGGTTGTATTTCGTTCGATTTGCTACAGATTTCAGTCTGAACTAAAGCACAACCATCTATCTCTAATACAACAGACCTAATGCGTACAAACATACTACCATATAAAGGAGCTTACATATTCCCAAAAAATGAAAAATGTGCAGGGTAACACATCTAAGTCATATATTGCAGATCGCTGTAAAAAAAAAGTCATATTGCATATCACTGTAAAAAAAAAGTCATATTGCATATCACTGTAAAAGTCATATTGCAGATAACTGTAAAAGGAAGCACACAGGCAAAGCATGACATCTCACAAGTTTCCCCTTGTCCAAAAGGCCTCGTTAGTTTTATTAATGGTTTCAAGTATAAACCTCACCACAATATTCTAGAGGTTTCTTAAATTTTAGCCTCCACTCTAAGCCCATGAGGCAATGACTACAAGAACAATCTGTTTAGAGCATACGCTCCACCATGAAGGCATAAACTTTCTCCATTGATATTCAAAAGTAATTCAACATCTCCAATTGTTTCTCTGTTGTAGAACTGTCCCAAAGCAAAGGTTTTATCTAGTATGATAAAATCTAAAACAGAAAGTGTCATCAAAGGAACCCAGCATAATACATATCCGTACAAAATTACGTTACAGCACAATTTGCTCGAAACAAACTGAATTGTGAATCTTACAACCAGTCTACGGAATGATACCGAAACAGGTCTAACATGGCAGAAAATATGATTATATATAATGAGGGAAACATAAGTAAGATAAGATGACAATGGCGCACTCACGGTCTAGTTTTTCACCAACACCGAGAACTTCTTGAACATTGCGAGTCATGATCTGGTGCACCTCATAGAGCTCATCATTCAGCTTGGCAAGGTTCCTCTGCGTTCTGGAATCCAAATAAAGTTTCTTGGTCTTCTGTATGAATGCATCTTAACAAGTAAACAGAGACACATAAGCTATCAACTAGCAGAAATATCAAGGGAATGAGAACAAAAAATGACAAGACATGAGCAGAGAACCATACCAAATTTAATAAATGCATATGGCCTTGCAGCAGTTTCAATATGGCTGCCATTGACTTTCTCAAATTCGTTTTTGAGATCTTCGAGATATTGGAATGCAAGTTTCTTGGGATAAGAACGATCACACAGAGTCAAATAGCACACACGGCCTTCAATGATGTAGCTGTTTTATTCAATTAAGGCACAACTAGAGCACCACAAGAATATTAGTGCCGAAAATGATCATTTTATTAATATATGTCATTAGTGATAGAGCTTACTTAGTGTAATCCACACATCAATGTCTAAATGGCGATTGGCGATAGATGATAAGCATATAACATGCATGCATAAGCGGGTGCTAGTCAAAGGAATTTGAACTGGTAGATGAATAGTGAATCCAATATATAGATGAGAACTCAGTAAGTTTATTACAGTATCTGGTTAGGCTGTGTAAATGTGCAGTTTTTTTCTTCCCTTGAGCACAATACTCTAATTTAGGATCATGAAGAAGAATCACCTATTTCCAAATGAGAAATTGTGGAACAAAGAATATTGTGAATGAGTAAAGATTTAGGATACTGGAAAAGGTATGGTCCAGTCTCAATTGACATCCTTGATGCCTCATGCTGCCCTTTTGACAAGTTCTTGAACAACAGTTTTGCTTGCTGCTTGTAGAAGTCAGCATCCTTGAGATCCCGACCATCATCTAATCCCTCCGACAATGGAAGGCCATCAGTGACACGTGCTATCATAGTCAGCTTCACCATTCTGGAAATATAGCATGAGGCAAACTAGCATAGGTAATGTAAAAGCACCACCTGCATGAAAACAAGATCAAGAATGCTTCAGGCACGTCTAAACATCAACCATTAGTTGCAGATGTACTGTTTTGTCAGCCAGTGCATCCTGGTTATTACAGGGGGCAATATGCACATGTCTGTTTGTGTGAGGTTAAAGCATATCGCCTAATCCTAGGTACAAACTGTACGCAAGGATTGCAACTTGAACTCTTGAAGCGTGACTGATCACTCCGGCGCGACTCATCAAATGGTAGTGCAGACAATTGACTACGTTAGCCACAAGACGACGTTGGAAGAACAAACCCCAGGAACAAGAGGAGGTAGTCATATGTTTTCCAGTTCCAAAAATGTTACAAAAAATCAATGAGAATCAATACGACAATGCCAGTGGTTTGAAGAAAAAGGGCAGTTCAGAACTTACCCTACTGCACTAGACAAATGCAGGCAGTATCATCAGGCAATGGGTGAACCTAGAAATACGAAAACACGTGCCAATGTGCGAGGATAAAGCAAATAATAATAAGAAGAAAAAAAAACACTTCCGTGTTGCAAATAAGATCATTCTTCACAGTAATCGAGTCGCTGTGGGCTACGTGTAAGGGGCCATATACATAAAAATCAAAATTACCCAGCTATATCAGAAAGCAAACATTAAAGGTGTCCAGAGCACCATAAACATGGATAGTCTTGAGCATAGAAGGTTTCCCAGCTCAGAACATATTTCAGATGCTACAGCTAAGATCTAACATCTTGCGTATCAGATCAACAGGCATAGATGGTGGATGCTAAGAGCACGCTCGCAAGACAGGCCACTGGAGCACCGTGCCATGAATCAGTCATGGCCACATAGTAGCAACGGGCGTACGCGTACAGTTTGACACACATACTAGGGACCTACATAAACGCACCCTTACAAGCAATCATGGCATCACAGCCTGACAGGCATCCGCGCCAAAGGAAAATGCGGCGGATATGCAAACGGAGCTGCAAGTCATCCCCGGAAATGGTGCGATCGTCCCCCTCCGGCCTCCCCCTTGGGGAGGAGCGGTGCGGGCGTGTGGTGCGAGGGGAACAGGCGGGGGCCTGAAGTAGCGACGTGGTATCGAATCACGCAGCCGAAACACGCGCAGCCCGACACCGAAACCCTAACGCCCCGAGTCGATTAAGTACGGAGTCTGAAGAAGCAGCGACGAGGAGCGAGATCTAGGCGGCGGACCGGCGGATCGGCGCGGGTTAGGGAGAGAGTAGGGGTGGGAGATGACGCTTACCATGCCGCGCGGTCGCCTTGCGTGGCTGCGGCTGCGGCGGCGGCGGCCTGGGTTCCGCGCGAGGGAGGCGGAGGGCGGAGAGCACGAGCACCGGAAGAGGAAGAGAGACGCGCTGCCGTAGCGCTCGTGGGAGACGACTGGGACTGGGACTGGGAGGGAGGGGGGGCTGCAGCCGCGCCGCACTCGGCTACGCTACGCAGCAGAGACCCGCTCGGCTCCAGCCAGCCGAAGGTCAGAGGAAGCTTCGACTTCGACTTCGACTTGAAGGCAGCCGGCTCGGCTTGGGGCAGCAGCAGCATGCGCCACGTGAGCGGCTGCCGCTGCTGGCTGGGCCGGCCATCGGCGGGGTCCGTCGGTGACAGCGGAATCGACAGCCCACTTTCTGTCCAATCTGATCTGATGATGTCTGAGTCGTTAGTCGTTACTGTGCCGAGACACTGGACCTTTGATACCTATGCCCCCGGTCCTAGAATAAGTGGACATCCCAAAGAGTGAAACGATTTTAAATTTAACTAGATTTATAAAAAATAGTATTAGCATTTATATCTCTAAATAAGTTTACTGTAAAAATAAATGATGTGATTAATTTAATGGTATTTATTTTATATCATAAACATTAATATTTTTTATATATATTTGATCAAAGTTGAGACGAATTGATCCCTCATGATACGAGATACTTATTTTGGGACAAGGGGGAGAAATACATTACTAATAATAAAGAACTCTACCTCATATAAGTGTGATGACACTGGTGCACACTGTACACTACTCAATAGTCAACACATATGCTACATGAGAAGCTCATCTATGACCCCTACTCAATACGGTTCGACAGTCATTTAATCCCTATGCATATGCAAGCAAGACATAAGTAGATCAGACTAACGCAGTCTGCTATTTTGACCCAATCCCCTTCCCTTCTCTTTGGGCAAACATGTCCAGTAATTTACATAATGTACACCTCCATAAATACAAGATTTAGGGTGCGTATAGCACAACTACGGCTTTAGCTCTTTGTAGTTCTTCGTGAAGCAACCAAACGGTGGGTACTAAAATGGCTTCGGTAAAGGGCCAGGAGAACCTGGAGCTGTTTTTTTTTCTCTTTTTACCTAGGAGCTCAAGCTGCGAACAAGTGGCTTTCCCTAGCCACTCCTCACAAACTTGTACAAAACATAACAAAACAACCACTACAATCGTTTTTGCCACACGTTTTCTAAAAATGGCTTTAGCTTCACAAAGAAGCCAACCCTTTTAAGAGGACCAAGAACCCTAACAAACTAGTGCTTAGGTGCCGTTCGCTTCGCTGAAAAAATAAGCTGAAACACTATTTCGGCTGATTTGTTGTGAGAGAAAAACACTGTTCTGGCTGAAAAATAAGTTGAAAAGTACGGATTATAAGACAAGCGAACAGAGCCTTAATCAACAAGTGAAGCTAGCTACAAAATGTGGGGTCTAAGGTGCACCAATCTAGTTGGAACTTTGATCCATTATCTAAAAAACGTTGCATTTATTCTACTACAAATTGCTGCTATATATCATTCTACCTCCTAGCCTAATGATGCAACCTTCATATTAATTTCTCAGAACAACCATGATGTATATGGACTAAGCCCATGTTTAGTTCCAAACCAAACTCTAAAAAAGTGCTACAGTATCCATCACATCGAATCTTGCGATACGTGTATGGAGCATTAAATGTAGACGAAAAAAAAATTAATTGCACAGTTTAGTGGGAAATTGCGAGACGAACGTTTTGAGCCTAATTAGTCCATGATTGAACACTAATTGTCATATAAAAACGAAAGTGCTACAGTAGCCAAAATTCCAAACTTCCTCCAACTAAACACGCGCTAAGCAATCTACGTACATAGGACCCACCTAGACAGTCCAATTAGACAATAATAAATAATTTATAAGGTGGGCCCCAATAGAGATAAAAGAAGAATAGTCCATAACTCTAAAAAATCATGAGAGGTGTCACATGTCATTGAGTAGGTATTTTCACGCAAACCTTGGTCTTGTTTACATTGTAAATTTTTACAATCTGGACACTGTAGCAAGTTTCGTTTGTATTTGACATACTTTGTCCGATCATAGACTAACTAGGCTCAAAAGATCCGTCTCGTGATTTATAACCAAACTGTGTAATTAATTATTTTTTTTACCTATATTTAATGCTCCATACATGCATCTAAAAATTGATGTGATGGAGAGAGAGTGAAAAAACTTAGAATTTGGAGGCGATCTGAACAAGGCCCTAATCGTATAACGCCTGCAAGCATGGATTTGACAGGCTTGATGTGCCATCGAAAGCTCATGTTGCCAACGCAATCCACACTCCATAGTCATAATGTAAGGCCTACTGCAAGCACGAATTTGACAGGCTTGATGCGCCGATCAATGAATGAACCAACAAAGAGTAGTCTATGATTCTACACGTAATGAATTTTCTTTAGAATTTTAGGGCAGCGCCCCAGCCATTGCATTAAGCAAAGACAATAACATCCATATATACAACATTCAGGCGTTAAAACACCTTTCCAAAAAGCATACAACATGTTTTAAAAGAGCACGAAAAAATTGAAAAACCACACTCAAAGCTACTGCCAAAACAGCAACAACAGCAACTCCAAAGACACTAGATTGAACCACTGACCAGACTTGCCACCCGAGACAGATTCTAGATTGTAAGCCAGGTATTTCTTAGCTTCCTCTGGTATCTCCAAGGCCTTCCAGTTTTGTGCCTCATGAAACATGAACCTCTTCCTAGGATCATTCACCATCTCTAGCCCTCACGTTTCAGTTCCTCCAGTTTTGTCATGAACTCTTGTTTCATCTGTTGTGGGCATAGGATACTTTGGTTCTGAAGCATTGTTGCAATTTTCAAGAGTAAAATACTCATATCCTTCCAACATGTTCCCTGAAAACAAATAGCATTTCTTAGTTTCCAAAGCCCCCACAGGGCTGCTGCACCATTACAAACTAATAAAAAAAAAATAAGCAAAATGGTCCTGCTCCCTACGCTGAAAGGTGCCTCCACATCTGTTTGGTAACTACACAATCAAAAAAAAAAACGGTGGACTCAAGAGCTGTCCTCTGTCTTCTTCCTAATGCTTAAATTATCTCTGGTCAAAGTTTTGTTCTTAGAAAAATCACAGCCCAACAAATTGTTGTCATAGTAACAAAAAGAATCGGTCCCTCTGGATGGGGGAGTGTAGCACAGTAGCTGGGCCGCTGGGGAGCTCCCATCCCATCGCCCATGTTGCCCATCATCCACCAGCGAATAATAAAAAGCAAAGTCCGTCCAGTCGTCCCCCTCTACCTTCGGTCCCTCTCCCAGCAGAAAGCGCAGGCCCCCATGCCGCGGCCTTCACCGACGTCGACTGCGTCTCGCTGCCCGACGCCGCCGCCGCAGCCGCCCGGCCCTGGCCCAAGGCCGCCGCCAACGGCGTTGCTCGAGTGCCCCGTCTGCACCAACTCCATGTTCCCGCCGATCCATCAGGTCACCCCCGCGCTCACCTCTCCTTATTCTTCGTTCCCTTCATTGATTGATCCATTTGCCCCGACTTCCTGCTCTGCTTGGATGGATCAATTGTCTTCTTTGATTTCGAATGGGGAATTCCCCTTCGCCTGTAGTAGTAGCATAATGCGTGGGGATTTGACTTTACGAGATGGTAATTTCGATGGCCATCGTCCTCCATTCCTCCAGCACAAAATTCATCGAATTAACTCAACAATCAGCTGTATTTGTGCTACCGTCATTTAGCAAATTTTTAGCACTCCCAACATGCTAGCTACGTCTCAGCCTAAAAACACACGGACATGAACAAGAAAACTCAACTTTCTGATGACAATTCGTTGGGTTAACCGTTTAGTTTGCACAGAAATAGAGTTCAAGAGAATTTATTTAGCAGGTCACGACTCACGGCTGCTAAATTGTCCTGGGATTTTGCCCCCGAGTCCTAACTCCTAACCTTCAGAAGTTTGGTGCCCTACAATCTTGTTTTGATTTGATTTGTGGTTGTCACTTGTCACCTCTGTGCAAGTTGCAACCTTTCGTTATCGTGTTCTATTTCTAGCTTCAATTTCCTTTGCTGAGCAGATTGCCAATGAATTGATTGTCTGGGTGGAGGATGCATAATTGATGGTGGCCCAATCAACCTCTCTTCTATAGTTATGTGAATGACACAGTAGTACAAGTAGAGCAATTATGGCATCGGGGTTGGCAGTGCCACTAACTCATATTGCACTTTGCACAGCATGGAGCGCACTGAAGCAAAGTTTTGTGATGCATATGAAATATTAGCGAAGTAAACAGAATATGCTAATAAGAATATGTTGGCTGTGAGTGGAGACATGATTGAAGAAGATAAGTTATACAGTTTATGGCTGTATGCTTTCAAGGGAATTTTATTGTGAATATGTCACCTTCCTTGTTAACGTATACGGCGCTTGGTTCCAATAGCCTGCAATTGACACTCTAAGAGACTATGTAAAGTGAAAAAAGAGAGAGATTATTTAATGTTTAAAGCTTTCTGTTTTCAGATGTTGTTCTCATATACTTATTGCATTTGGCATTCGGATATTGATCTCACATACTTGATTGCATTTGCAGTGCCAAAACGGGCATACATTGTGTTCCACATGCAAGGCTAGAGTGCACAACCGTTGCCCTACCTGTAAACAAGAGCTTGGAGATATCAGGTGTTTGGCACTGGAGAAAGTAGTGGAGTCGCTTGAGCTTCCCTGCAAGTACTACTCTTTGGGGTGCCCAGAAATCTTCCCATACTACAGCAAGATAAAACACGAAGCGCAATGCAGCTTAAGACCATACAATTGCCCCTATTCTTGTTCTGAATGTGCCGCAGCTGGTGACATCCCTTATCTTGTTTCCCATTTGAGGGATGATCACAAAGTTGATATGCATAGCGGCTGCACATTCAACCACAGATATGTTAAATCGAACCCACGAGAAGTTGAAAACGCCACCTGGATGCTAACGGTAGTTACCTATAGTAGGCTTGTTCTCTCATGGTAAATAAATATTCTCGTCGTAGGATTAGCACAGAATAAAATAATAAACTGTGAATTTGATTTGTTAAATATTCTGAGCAGGTGTTTCACTGCTTCGGGCAGTACTTCTGCCTGCATTTTGAGGAGTTCCAGCTTGGGATGGCACCTGTATACATGGCCTTCCTCCGTTTCATGGGGGACGAGAACGAGGCGAAGAACTACAGCTACAGCCTCGAGGTCGGTGCCAGCGGGAGGAAGATGAGCCACCAGAAGGTGCGGGACAGCCACAACGGCCTCATCATCCAAAGGAACATGGCGCTGTTCTTCTCCGGAGGCGACCGGAAGGAGATGAAGCTCAGGATCACTGGCCGGATCTGGAAAGAGCAGCAGACCCCAGACGGCGCCTGTATTCCCAATCTGTGTAGCTAAGTGATTTTGCAATCTTCAAAGGAAATGGTGCTGGTTTTGGTTGGATATGGTGCATACAATCCTGCTGCCATACCTCGCTGTTTTTCTGATCGTGATCGGGGGGCAAATCTCTCGTGTTGTGTCTTGGCTAAAAAGGATATTAGGAGGATAGGATGCTCCTGTAAATGAAATTGTGTATATGGCATCCCTTAATTATCTCACAGTACAGGTGGGCTGATCAAGCTCTCTGCTGCCTGACAAAGTTGTGTTTTCATCTTGAAAGTAGAAAGCGCGTTTTTGGCTTTGCATTTGACAGCCTTCCCACCAGAGGGGTGTTTGGCGCCAACAGATGAAAGCTGAGCATCTTGTTGTAGAAAGTGGTGCCGAGAAGAAGACAGGCATTCCAAACATGAAGAAGGTGTGGTTGCTACGTTTTATTTCCGTTATTTCTTTACTTTTTATGGATGTGTGTGGTGTGATAGCTCCTTAACATCAAGAAGAGAAGGCTGAAGAACTGAAAAGGTGCCTGCAATGTTTGACCAGAGAAAAAGCCAAAGTCAAACTTTACAAATTTTGACCAACAATTAGATAAAACTATATGCAAGTTTAGAGCATAAAACTTGCACCAATAGATTTTGTGTTGAAAGTGTATCTAAGAATGATATCGATGTTTTAGCAATTGACTACATGTTATATAAGAGAAATTAAGAGTAAAATTATACTTTATATGACTTGCTCTCATCAAATACGATTACCATTTCTGGGCAGAGAGAGAAATTAAGGGAGTATATTGTTGTTTAGTCCAGCACTCAACCAGCGAGGAGAGGTGATTATTTCCCCCTCATCAGAAGAAGAAAAAAAGGGAACAAGGAAATCCGAGAAGCCACTATCCCACCACAGAGTGGGCGTGCCACGTGGCTGGTATCCCATCCAATGGTTCCACACCTCCCAAGCGAGGCAATCTCTTCTCCAATTTTACTCCCCTCGCCCTGCCATTGCCAGCCCCAATTTCTTTGTCTGACAACTCACCGTCCACGGAGGGGAAGCGGACCTAGGAGCAATGGCAGCAGCCTCCGTCTGGCTGCAGCTCCCTCCCCATCGTCTCCACAGCCCCCTGCTCTCACTCCCAAGCAACCATTCTTCCTCTGCATGCCCTCCAGCATACAAGAAGCATGCCGTGCTAGGTCCAGGGAGAGGAAACCACCTTCTCTGCGGTGCTTCTGGCGCCACTTCTTCTGTGGTGACCAAGGAGCAGGAGGGGGCAGCCTCTGATCCTTCGTCAGAGGAAGGATCTCCTGAGCCTGAAATCTATAGCTACAAGGATGACCCCAACTTCAGGTAACCTACCTGTTCGTCTTCAATTTCCTAGCACTTCATCGGCGTCTTCTGTCTGTCTCCTATGTTCAGTGAATATGCAACATTCAAGATATCTATATAATTTTTATTTCCCAGACAAGCACAAAGTGGTTCCATGGTCTAGCGGTTAGGACATTGGACTCTGAATCCAGTAACCCGAGTTCAAATCTCGGTGGAACCTGATTTTTTTTTGGTCTTGCATAGACCACTGCTCATTAGTCATTTCCCCCACCATTTACAACATTGGATTAATGGTTCGAAACATGTCCTCATTTTAGTTTTTTTTTACCTCTGTTTATACTTTATATAGTGGTCCCTAACAAAACCTCATTTAGTACCATTTTGTTTATATATATTTCTTTATCAATCAATAAAGGAGGAGCATGTTACTAGCACAGCCGAACCATGTCTCAAAATTAAAAGACGGTTTAGTTTGGTTCCGATCAGGAATCAGCTATATCTGACTGTAGTGCTGCATTCATGCTTCTGCTGGATATAATACTCTATAATCTTCTTGTGCGTTGATGCACACACAACACAGGGGCTGCAAGGGCTGCGGCAGGGAAGAGGTTGAGAGGGGCTGCAATGGCGAAGGGCGGATCCAGGGTGGCATAGCCGCCGTCCCGGGCTTCGGCTGGTGGCCCATCAAGGCGTACCGGCCGTGCCCCGGCTTCATCGCGTCCGGCGGCCGCTACCGGCGCCAGGGCCAAAGCATGGACGACGTTGCATCCGGCAGGGGAAAGAAGAAGCCCTCTCCCGCCCAAAAGAAGAGGTAAGCTGCTGCTGCTGCGGCTATGTTTACCGCTGTAGGTAGTTTCTGTTCATCCGGTGAATATTTCTGGATGCATTTCTTTTATATAGATGACCAATGTCCGAGCCATTTCGATGAGTTCCCGTTTTCTTTTGCTCGTGTACATACGTGCGTAGTACCACAATTACAGGTTGTCATTTCACCATTCTTCACTTCACTAATTGTATTATTGCTACTACTAGAACGTAGCCACTGAATTTTTCGCAAACTCATGCATCGAGTGGCAATGACTTTGTGCCTGGTGCAGTATGCTGCATACTAATACTAATGTTATTGTCTATCTGACTTCAACTTTCAACTTGCAGCGACAACAAGTAATCCCAGACCAAGGAACTGAAGTGTTGACAATGCCAGGATGTGTATTGTGTTATTCAGGCCAGGTTGACCAATGAGATTCGGCTGTCACTGTCTGCGTCAGCAGTAGATAATGTTTCTTATCAGAAATTCAGAATCTATCCAAGATGCAATCTGGGAAAGCTTATACCAGGGTGGAATTGGGGAAGCTCAAGTTATTCAGAAACAACAGTTGTGGTCCACAATGTCAATATATATGCACTAGTTGGGACTGGTTGCAGAAACAAGAAGAATGTTAGGGTGCAGTGTTGTTCTCCTAGGCTCCTGGCAATCACGTACTGTTTCTATTCCAATTGTAATAGTAGCTTGGAACAGCTGACTGTGGACCTGTATTATTGTCTTCAAGTAGAACTAGGTGAGATACGTGCCAAGCAACCCATGTATTCTCGTCCATAACACAATATAAACGTGCATAGTTGAGAATCCTAGCTTCATAGTGTTAGCCACCTCGTCGTTGGCGGTAGGGAATTGGAACAGAGGAAGGGAGAACGGGGAAGAAGGCAGAGGTGCTCCAGCCGACAGGTTGCCTAGCTTGGAGAATGGAGGATTGTATTCTCAATTGATAGCTTAGTCCTTACAGTCTTCAGGGGTCTCCCCTTTAACACTCTCTCGCGGGCTCACTCTTACAAGCATTACACACCCACCATGGGCCAGAAAGCCTTGTACTGCGGGTAGCGCCTTCGGCTGCTAGGCCTTCCAGGATGTGGTGTGACATCCCCCTCCTTGGAAATCGGCATGCCCTCATGCCGGAGCTTGTGGAAACTGCTGGCGATGCACTCGACATCTTCCCAGGTCGCTGGGCTGGAGTCCAACCTAGACCACTTGATCAACAGTTGAGGGACAAAGCTAGGGCCGCACTGGTGGAGTCATCATTGGAGAACTTGCTCGAACACTTGGAGCGCAACCGCTGGGTCGGGGAGGTTGTTGGAGACGGGTTACTTGTTGGAAGGCGATGGCTTCGGTAGCAACATATGGAAGACAGGGTGGATGACAGAGCCCAGCAGCAGGTCTAGCTTGTAGGCAACAACTCCAATCTTGGATAACATCTTGTAGGGGCCAAAGTACTTGAAGGAAAGCTTCTGGTGAGCTCGTGGCACAAGTGAGGACTAAACGTATGGCTGAAGCTTGAGGTAGACGAAGTCACCGACGTTGAAGGTATGGTCAGAGCGGCGCTTGTTAGCCTATAACGTTCATCCGCTATTGGGCACGAAGGAGATGTTGACGAACCGCCGCCAGCATTATGGCCCGTTCTTCCATCAGGGAAACGACATCCGGAAGAGAAGAAGCATCTACAAGGGTGAGTTTGAAATGCCGAGGGGGGTGGACGTAGAGTACCTCGAATAGGATCAGTGAAGAGAGGAGTGAACGTTGGTGTTGTACTAGTATTCCGCCAATGGAATCCACTTTAGTCACCGTCGAGGGCATGAATGGATGAAGCACCTCAGGTACGTCTCCAAGCACGGGTTGACCCTTTCGGTCTAGCCATCCGACTGAGGGTGATAGGCGGGGCTCATGCAAAGGGTAGTTTGATCTAGTCAGAAGAGCTCGCGCCAGAAGGTGCTTGTGAAGATGTGATCCTTGTCAAAGATTATGTGAGTGGGCGTACCATGGAGGCGGTAGATGCTGTCAAGGAATGCCTAGCCAGTTGTTGAGCAGTAAAGGGGTGCGACAACAACACAAAGTGTGCGAATTTGCTGAACTTGTCGACCACCACCATGAGACAGTTAGCCACAGTCGAACGAGAAAGGCCTTCTATGAAATCCATGGACACAACCTGCCTAGATTTAGATGGTACTAGCAATGGAGAGAGGAGACCTTGGTAACACACATGGTTCGGCTTTTCTTGATGGTAGACTAAACAAGTAGCAGCGTAGGCCTTGACACCAGACTTCATATGGTACCATGCAAAGATCGTTTTGATACGGCCATAAGTGACAGGGAACCTAGAATAGCCACCTACGACACTAGTGTAGAGGGACTGCTATATCCTCTTTGTTGAAGAGCTTTGTTGTCGTCGATCCAGATATAGTCATTCCAGCGAAGGATGCCTTGTACCAAGGTGAATGGTGGGTGGCTCGTAGGGGACACAACCAACTCTTGGATGAGTTTGGTGGCTATAAGATCAGAATTGTAACCCGGTTGAACTTCAGTCATCCATGCAGGGGTAGAAGAGGAGATGGCGTGAGCTAGCAAGGAGGGTCTGAGTGCCAGGAGAGAGCATCGGCCGCCAAGTTGGACACTCCCGATTTATACACCACTTTGTACTACAAGTCCACGAGCTTTATATACATCTTGAGATGCCATGGTGTGTGGAGGTTTTGATCCGAGATGTGCATCAAACTGCGACAATCAGTAAAGATGATGACCTCGTCGTGTTAGAGGTAGGGACGCCACTGGTCAACTGTGACCAAGATGGATCACTACTCCTTCTTATATGTTGAAAGGCCTCGAGTACGCTGTCCTAGACCCTTGCTGATGAATGCCAGAGGATGTCCATATTGCAATATCATTGCGCCGACACCTAGATCATTGGCATCAGTTTGAAGCTAGCATAGTTTGGAGAAGTCTCGAAGAGCCAGGCCAGAGCAGAATTGAGATTTGTGGGATGCCAAACCATCATAATAGTGTGTATATCATCGTGCAACCCATCAATGAAGCGGGTGGTGTAGTAAAGGGGGTCAGGGTGGGTAGTGTAAGCAACCAGCTGATCAACAAGCTCGACAAACTTGTCAACATATCCGACAACAGAAAAAGTCTAACGAACATTGAAAAGTTGCCTAAGGAGTACCTCATGTTGATCTCTATTGAAGCATTCGCAGATCATAGCACAAAATGCTCCCCAGTCGGCCTCCTTGAGGCGACGTTGCACTGATTGGAGCTAGCGAGCAGCGGCTCCAGTGAAATGCATCATAGAAATCCTAACCCAAAGAATAGAATCTACAGAGTACTCCATCCATTCTCTTTTACTACATTTGCATAGGCAGAGGTTGGTGATGATTTGGGTGTTCTCCATAATCTGGCAGGTGGAGCTAGGAGGTTTAGGGAAAGGACAACACAACATTTGCATGTTGCAAAGCCACTAATGTCCTTATAGACAATCCATAACTACGGTATGGACAGTCTATCGGGGCCTCGTGGACTCTGACAAGCTTACTAGTCAAGTTGTGGAGTTGAGGGCTGACGAACAACCCATCAAGATTCTATGGGCATTCTGTTGAAGCACTAGAAGCACTGATTGTCGGGCCCCTTGACTTGACTTGGTGGCCCTTTTTAGGGCACACCCTTGACATGTTGAGGAGCCCCTAATACTTGGTGGCCCTTGGCTCGACTTGTCCTAATGGATCCCTCCCTCTTTAAATGAAAGGTGGTCCTTGTCTATTGATTCAAACATTTCTCTTAGCTTCATCCATCACTTCACCTTATCTTGCTCTGACGTTGGTGAGACATGATGGCGAGGCTCTAATTTCTTGTGGCTTGGACTTACGGGCTGTTGAACATGTTGGAATGGGTAGGGTTCCACTTGGGGTTCCTACGTTCGAAGATCATGTATCGACCTTGAGGAGATTAGGGTCAAACAACTAAGGAAAACCCGCTGGTGACAAGTGGGTGGTCGATAAAGATGCTTTAGGAGGTCATATTAGAGATTATATCTTATCCAAACTTAGAGATAGAGGATGATTTCTTTGTGTTACACCTAGGATTATAGCTTGAGGAGTTAGGGTAAAGGCTCAACTTAGACTTAACAAGGGCATTTAGCAAAGTTTTATTTGGGTGGTTTTTGGGTCGTGACATGAGTGCTTTAATTTGGCAAGATATCTTGTAGAAGTCCTAGCTTGGAGTGGGGGTGGAGTTGTGTTCATGGTGAAGTTTAGAAGGTTCTAAAGTAGATATTTTGTATGGTAGAAAAAATATCTAGGGTTTAGATAAGCAAGCATAAATAATGTTCTATAGTAAATATATTTTGTATGTGATGATTTGGGTTGTTTCCACTTGACACCAATCCAACGATTGTGTTTATATAACACAATATATAGGGAGCACTCCACCTCCAAGAGGCAAAGACGAGTAGAAGCCATTTGAAGGATGGCATAGGTAGGCACCATGAAGGTTAAAGTGTGGTAGTGCAACCACCAATAAAGAAATGTGTGTCATTGTTTTGCCAAGCGCATAAAAGAGAATAAAGCTTGAGTTTTTTATGTGTAGAAAGTCAATCTCTTATTGGTGTTGGTGTGAATGTCTCATTTTTTAGTTGTAGTACAATGGGTATATAGGGTCCACATAGAAGCGGTATACGTTCGAAGATCATGTATCGGCCTTGAGGAGATTAGGGTCAAGGAAAACTCGCTGATGACAAGGGGTGGTCTATAAAGATGTTTTAAGAGGTCGGGTTAGAGATTATGTCATATCCAAACTTAGAGACAGAGGAGCCTTTCTTTCGGTTGCATTGTAGATTGAGGGCTTAGGGTGAACGCTTAACTTTGGCTTAATAAGGCTCAACTTAGGGTGTCAGCAAATTCATGTATGCAGTAGTCAAGGTCACAATAGTCAAGGTCTTCCTGTTCCTATTAGTGGAAAGCATTGCGGAAGCCCAAAAAGAATGACTCCGTGGTGATGAGGAGGGATTTGATTATTGGGACGTGCTCTTCGCCGAGAGCTGCGCCAAGCGAGGAGGTGATGGATGGGAGAATGGACCTCCACTTGGCGAGAAAGTTAGAGGCAGCGATGATGACCACAACTTCAACAACCTAGACTTGGATCGAGGGTGAGGCATTGAGGAGGATGTTCAAGATGACGTTGCACTCCAAGTCAGAGTGGAAGGTGGTTTGCGTCGGGGTTTGCGCTGAGCCTAGGGCTTAGGCCATGGGTGGTGGATGAGCTCTTATTGAAGTGGACGGAGGTGGCATGGTGGGCCTTCTCATACCTCCGACACTAGGAGGCAGAGAGACTGAGTAGCCCAAACGCTG